TGCTCATTAGAACCAGAACCATTTGTTAGAACTCCAGAACATTTCAAGCTTCGCTTCATCTGAGCTTCTGTGAACCTCAGTGGAGAAATGATAAACTCCATCACTGATATTATTAATGAGCCATTAATAATATAGTGATCAATAGATCTCAACTTTAGAAATATTTTCAGTTTCTTATGTTGGATTAATGAAACCTGATGTGGTGATAAAACTGTTTCTGTCTCAATCATCAATCAATCAATCAATCAATCAATCAATCAATCAACCAATCAATCAACCAATCAATCAATCAATCAATCAATCAGTGTTATCTGTATAGCACATTTCAGCAGCAAGGTGTCTCCAGAGCTTTACATCACAATCACAAAGTCATAGAATCAACAATCCATCAGGTCATCAATAAATTGATTATTGATTATGTTTCCAATAAAACCAACCAGCTGCTTTCAGTCTGGACTTTAAGGATCTCAGGGTTTCGGCTGTTTTACAGTTTCTGGACGTTTGTTCCAGATCTGTGGTGCATAGAAGCTGAAAGCTGCTTCTCCTCGTTTGGTTCTGGTTCTGATGCAGAACCAGAACCAGAACCTGAGCTCTAGATCAGTAACTCTAGATCTGTAGCTGTAGATCTGTAGCTGTAGATCTGTAGCTGTAGATCTGTAGCTGTAGATCTGGTGGCTGATGTTCTTTCCTGTTATGACCTGAGCAGGGAGATACAGAATCAGAGGGTTCTTGTGTTGATCCTTGGGGAATCTACATGTGACCTCTGACCTCTTTGATGAGAGGTTTCCAGTTCTTTATGTAAGATTGAAACAGTTGAGTCTGGACCGGAGAGTCCAGTCTATCTGAGGTCCAACAGAACCAGCTCTGTGGTTCTCCCACAGTCCGTATTTTATATGGATGTCATTGAAGGCTTTGACTAGGCCAGTCTCTGTGCTGTGGTCACCATGGAAACCAGACTGGAAGGAGTCGAAGCGGGCGGTTAGTTAGGAAGTTATTTAACTGTTGAGGCTTTTCCAGTAAGTTTGTTGATGAACGGGAGGTCAGAGGTCAGAGGTTGGCCTATGGTTCTGCAGTTGTGATTTTATCAGTGCTTGACAAAAGCTGTTTTCACAAAGAGTTTCTATTGGCCAGATCAGCAGCAACAACAGGAAGGAGTTGTTGCAACGTTCTAGAGCTACAGATCTAGAGCTATAGATCCAGTCCTAGAGATCCAGAGGTATAGATCTAGAGCTATAGATCCGGAGCTACAGATCTAGAGCTACAGATCCAGCGCTATAGATCCATAGGTATAGATCTAGAGCTATAGATCTAGAGCTATAGATCCATAGGTATAGATCTAGAGCTATAGATCTAGAGCTATAGATCCAGTCCTATAGATCTAGAGCATAGATCCATCGCTATAGATCTAGAGCTATAGATCCATAGGTATAGATCTAGAGCTATAGATCCGGAGCTACAGATCTAGAGCTACAGATCCAGTCCTATAGATCTATAGCTCTAGATCTAGAGCTATAGATCCAGAGGTATAGATCCATCGCTATAGATCTAGAGCTATAGATCCATAGGTATAGATCCATAGGTATAGATCTAGAGCTATAGATCTAGAGCTATAGATCCAGTCCTATAGATCTAGAGCTATAGATCTAGAGCTATAGATCCAGCGCTATAGATCCATAGGTATAGATCTAGAGCTATAGATCCATCGCTATAGATCTAGAGCTACAGATCTAGAGCTACAGATCCAGTCCTATAGATCTAGAGGTATTGTTAAGAATTAAAAAGATGAAGAACTTGATCTAGCTCGTTAATTAATTCTTAGTCCCGAATTCTGTGTCTGTGTAAGTGTGCAGAGAGAAAAGAGCAATCATACGATGTCAGACTTCAGATATTCAGAGTTTTATCCAGAGAAAATCAATCCAAGAAGAACTTTACAATAATCATCTCACTAGAGCAAAAGTCCAAGATATTACAAAACAGAGACAAAGAACTGAGTAAAAAAGACAGAAAGATGCATCCTCCGGGAAAACTCTCACCCAGCACAAAGAGATTCCAACTTCTGCTGTAAACCAAATCATTTTATAGATGCGTAATCTCATCATTTAAATGTATGCATTAGGAGGTGTGTTCTTTTCCTTTGTGTGGGCTGTCTCAATGTTAATTTTATTACCTCCTGCAAAGAGCCCCAAAAGCAGATATACGGCAAACCCTTCTCGTATCAGCCGCTGTCCAGTTTGATATATGATTGCAGCTGCAGCGCTATCTGTGCCTCAAAATGTTTCCACAAGAAAGTAGTTGTTATTTTTAACCAAGCTTGCACACAATGTAATGCTAAATAATGACTATAAGTTTGGATCTAATAAGTAACTATTTAAAAACATGCTTAAAGAAATATAGTTAATTTCTAATATAGATAAAATTATTTATAAAAAGTTTTAAGATCCTAGTGAACTTTTGAACCATGCTCAGGAATTTGTTAATTGCCTGGCAGACAGACTCCCTGTCTAAAGAGATCCAAGGAGTCTAAGACTGTTTTCTGTCTGATCCTCCTTTAAGAATTTATCTGCGTTCAGAGAGTGAGCCGTTTTTAGTTTCATCTAAATTTATATGAACCTAGAGTGTACTTTAACTTTCTATGTTATATTTTATATGTGTCAAAGCTATCCTGTGCAGTATTGTGCTAATTTAAAATATTATTTCAACAGTATAGATCTATAGCTCTAGATCTAGAGCTATAGATCCAGAGGTATAGATCCATCGCTATAGATCTAGAGCTATAGATCTAGAACATCCAGGTCATTTGTCCTGAGTTAGTTTTGTTTGCTCCAGCATCGGTTCTGTTTTACAGTGGATGTGCAGATGAATCGTCTGATTTTCTGAATGTTCTCCAATAAGAAGCTGAAAGTGTTGCAGCAGATTGAAGTTCAGGAGGTTCAGTCACTGCAGGGTTTGTGATTCTGTCGCAGATCAAACTCCAGCTTTGTTCATATTTCTGTTGATGACGTCTGCAGAGAAAGTTTGTCTTGCATGTTTTAGTGTTGACTGATGTTTACCTGCTCGTTCTTTATAGATGTCATAATAGATAGAGGTATAGATCTAGAGCTATAGATCCAGATAAATCATTGATTTTACGCTACTGTTTAAAGTGATGATGATTTCTTTACTTCACTGGATCCAAAATTGAAACAGAATAACGTTTCTCTGTAAATTGTAGTGAGACTTCAGCAATAAAGCTGCTCCATAACTCAGACGTCCTGTTGTTTTATTACTGTTTGTTATGAGAATTATTATGTGAAATCATGTAAAATTGTCTTTTTTTAGCTTCAATCACAATGAAAAATATGGTGTTTAATAATATAATTGATCTTTTATGGTTCCAGTAATGCTGAAATTAATGGTAAATATAAGACTATTCTGATTTAGTAATGTAGTGATATTGTCGTGTTACCACCCCACGCCACTAGGCAGCCTCAGGCCGAAAAGATGAGGAGCAGATTTAGAAGAACACAGGAAGTGACAGAATCTGTTAAAACTGTAATAAAAGAGAAAAGATCAACACAAACTGAGAGTGAAAATCCTTCCTAAAGGTGAAAATATACACAAAGAAAATAAAAACATGGATATATAGCGCCCCCTTCACTTCCGGAGTGCAATGGTCCAGTTTCCATATCAGGTCTGAGAATGACAGCGGCCCGCCCCCCTTCCTGTTGCTGCAGCGATGTCCTTCTCAGTCAGAGGAAACCACTGCACTGTCTCAGAGCTCTGTGTGCGACTTAAAGGGAGGCGATGGCTGACAAAACACACTGCAGACTAACCAGACTGAGCATTCACAACAGGCTATGCCAGCTGCAGCATAGGGATGAGCAGCCACATGAGATAGTGATTGACAGCACTAAACTTTCCTGCTCTGATTGGTTGTTTCTTGATAGTTCTGGGAGAAAGCAGAGGAAATAAAATTTTGACAGATTATTCATCATATCAAACTGTCACAACATAATGACAGTTTTAACAAATATGTAAAAAAAAATATATTTTGTATATAAAAGTTGCTGCAGCTTAACTCCCCTCAGCAGAGGAAGGACGGGTCAGGAGGGACTAAGCTGCTGCTGACCGACTCGCCTGTTAAGTGGAAAAGGTCCAGTGAAATATGTCAATATGTTGGTGATGTTTTCCTTAATTCATTAAATGTTAGTGTAAAGGAGGCTAAGCTAGCTATGCTAAATGCTAGCTTAGCCTCTCGGAGAAAAACTGGCTTATAAATTGATACGTTTAGCTTTTTCTCTCTTTTTGATTTTAACACCTACTTTATCATTTTTCTTAGCAGCGCAGTAACAGCTCAGTGGTTCTTGTTTCCACTGACTGCTGCTGAACACCTGCAGCTCCAAGCAGGAAGGAACCGATTCCTGCAGATCAGGGGCTTCAGGGCAAATATGTGTTTTTGGTCTGGGAAGGGAACATTTCATTTTTACTGCTGAAAACAATCTTCCAACACACAAAATGATTCTTTTTGGAATTGGCAGGGCCCAATGTTTTAATTCCTATGAACAAAACTAATAAATAAATAGGGAGCGCCCCTTTAACTTTACATTCCTCAGGTCTGGTCCAGCTCTGGCCCCCCCTGGTGGCCATTAATGTCTCCAACAACAGAAAAGTTGGTTTATCGATTAAAAAAAACTTTTCTGGGTCTGAAAAGTCTCCGATTATTGTGATAAAGTGGAGAAATGGCAGCAGAGCTTCTTTCTGCTGACCCACTCACCCCTGCCCTGGTATCCACGTTTGGCACGCCCCTAAGTGACTCTAGACTCCGCCCACTTTGGTGGACTCATACTTTCACATGGGGCTGGTCTGTGATCCTGTGCCTGGTTCCCTAGAAAAGGAGGGAATCACCATAGCAACTAGTGACTGCATGCTCTGTGGTTTGGTCTTTCCACCAGGTCACAGAGGTCACCTGACGCTGGTGACCCTGTGACCTTGGTGAGTTTTTCAGCAGACACTGAGACGAGTGAATTTAACGACTTTATTTCTTATTGTGACACAAATCAAAGTTTCTCCACAGACGGGCGAGTCAGCACAGCAACAAGCTGAAGGTACGAGAACATCAACAACTAGGAACCAATCACAGAGCTCAGAAGCTGTTGCCACGGTCACAAACACTGTTCATCACATGTCCATTGGGGACAGAAACCTGTCAACTCCGACTCCCAGCAAGCCTTGCTGCAAGAAGTCAGCCAATGAGAACTTTGTGTCTGAAGGTCAGAGGTCAGCTTTAATGCTGGTTTGGTCTGACTCAGAGCTGTGACGATGCTAGCTACTGTTAGCATTCTGTTTTCAAACGGAAATGATGACGTTTGGGTCTCTGTGACGTTAACAACTTAAAGCAGAACGATTCATTTATCAACCAGCTGTTATTGGATCCTGAACTCAGGCCTTCCCAGCGTCACAAATCCGACCACAGGGGGCGCTCTCGTTGCTTTTACGCCCAGAAACTCCAATGGAACACATCATCGCTGCATACCAGCCGAGGCTCATGGGTAATGTAGTGTTGAGACATGTTTGATCAGAAGTTTGCTTCTTCTTGAAAATTCTTCCTCATTTATACAACAAACATTTGATCCACTCAAATTTACACAAGCAGCAAAACCAAAGAAATGACATGAACAATAAAAATGTGAGACACGACCAGAACTGTCTTCTCCCCCTCCTCTTCCTCCTCTCACTTCCTCAGGTAATCCAGAATCTGATCCATCAACATCTGGGGGTCGTAGGTCAGCACAGCTCCTGCGGCGCCTCCGACTCCCGTGGTTGACTTCCTGTAGGTCAGCGGTTGCCATGGCATCGATGCGTTTCATCCTTTGCAGCCCAGGTCCTCGTGGGCGGAGCTCTTCCTCTTCCTCTTCGTCGTCCAGCCTCTTCACTCTGAGGAGGGGCGGCTCGTTGCTGGGCGACTGGCCGTCCAGGGAGCGGCGGCTCCGTCTGTGCGTGGCGCTGACGGGTTCGGCCCCGGCGGACAGGTCCCGCTTCGCTCTGCGGCCTGATGACATCATCAGCTGGGCGTCGTTCGGGCCGTTACCAGACAGTATCTTAGCAACCATCCGCCTGCAAGGAAAATCACAGAAATTTGTTTTCCAACATTTCATAAATAAACCTTACAGAAATGGAAGAAAAAATCGTTTTACGTTCTTGATTTTAATCCTTTTTTGTTTGAAAAACATTCCAGAAATGTTAAGGATTTAAAGTGAACAATAGAAGGTTTGATAGCGCATCGCTAACTAAAGATGCAGCTAGCTAAGAGCTAAATGTTTAGTTTGGTGCTAGTTACACATTGAGTTGGCAAACTAAATATTTGTGAACAAACTAAATGTTTCCTAACTAAATGTACAGCTTCAGCTAGAGATTTAGCTCTGAGTTAATTAAATGTTGTGTTCAGGTTTAGGTTTAGGGTTGGGCTACATATTTACTTTTTTAAATATTAACTTTTTAGAAAAAAAGAAACTTTTTTTTTTCCTAGGCTCACTGAACCAAATTATTGTTGCTAATTTCTGATTGTTAGACTATGTCAGAACATTCAATTTGATCATGAAACGTTTATTTCATTCCTTGTGATTTGGGCGTCTTGTCCCTGGAAGGATGCCCATATAAGGAAGAGGCAGAGAAAGGACAGTTTGAGTCTCCAAACACTGTTGGCAGTAGTTGTACCCACAGTCACACTGCAGGTTGTAGTTTTTCAGGTGTGTGGTCCTACCTGAGAGCGTCCTGGTCTCGGCTCGGTCCGGCTGAGGTCCAACTGGACTCCTGGTTCTCTCCAGCAGAGTCTGGGCCAGACGGGGATCCATCCTGACAAACATCCACCCGTCCCGTTAACGTCTCCACCCTCCTCTTCCTCAGACAGCTGATCTGACTCACTCACCTGTCCAGGAGCGCCTGAGCCAGCTGCGGTTCCACCAGGTCCCACCAGGGGGCGCCGGGGCCCCCCATGATCACGCCCCGCCCCGTCTCATCGTAGTCTGCGGCATTGGCGATCTGGAAGTCCCCTGGAGGCCTCTTCGCCTCATCCTCCTCCTCCAACACCTCCAGGTCTCTGGGGCCGACCAATCCCGCGCTCTCTGCCTCACTCAGGAGGCGGAGCAAAGCAGCCAGGTAAGCTGTGGGAGAATGTGATTGGCTCTGGAGCTTATTCTGAATAAAATGTGACATCAGAGGTTCCTGCATCCTGTTGGCTAAAGATTTTAGAGCTCTTCATGAAAACAAGAGAATAAAATGAATGAAAACTTTAAAATTTAAATGTTTTATTAAATATAATTGAGCTGTTTTAAAGGTGTAAACATCGTATCTGAGGAAATCAGCGGCTGTAAATGAATAATAATTTTAATATTTAGTGAAAATATAAACAACCTGCTTGTTGCTCCTCCTCCTGTTCCTGTCTCTGGTCTCTCTCCACCAATCGCTGTAGAGCCTGGTTGATTCCCGTCCTCTCCAGCCTTCTGATTGGTAGTATAGGTCGTT